CTTTTATATTACTATCGCATAAGTGTAGCACCTATTATTAATTATAGTAGTAGCGTTTTTTAAAAGATTAATGATTATGTCTATAGACATTAGCTAAGTAGACTTTAGTTAGTGAAGTAGCTCTTGGATAGGTCGTACGACCTACTTAACCTGCTTTAGCTGCCCTAGTCGACGTTTTTAGACTAGAGCTCCTCTTTTCCCTCGTCTAAGCTTTCGTCTTCTAAGGTAGCAGCTAGAACTTTTGTTATAGTCTCTAGCTTGCGCGTGCGTTTTAGAACTACTACTTTATACTACTATACGAGGTGGCCGTGGATACTATAATGTAGGTAGCTGCCCTCCTTCTTGCGTTAAGTAATTTAGCTTTATGTACTCTAGTACTTATTTCTTATACGGGGACGTATAGCGCCTATATTAGGCGTCTAGTCCATTTCGTCTACGGCAGCTAGGGTAGACGTAGAAAGAGAGGTAGAGTAAGAAGGCGCGTTGGACGAGAGTTAGTTAATTACCTTAAGATTCTTCTAAGTATTCCTAAGTTGATGAATAAAGGCGTCGTACGTCTCGTTTAAAGGAGGCTAGTACCTAGCTTAGTAGCGTAGTAGCTTTCTATTAAGAGAATTCTTAAGATAGTTAATTTTTAGCGCGTTATCGTCTTGTCTAAAACTAGCTTCGTTAAACTTTAGGTTAAAGGCTCGTACGTAGAGAAGAAACTTACCTTTTCCTTACTTAGTTATATAGAGATACTATAGAGCTTTTTACTTAATTAAAGGGTCTTCGAAGAACGCGTCTAGTTGCTCTTAAAGCTTACTTAAGCTAGGTAATACGTTTCTGCTTATAAAGTCTTATACGTAAGCCTATAATACTGAAAAGGCTAGTCCTCCCGTCTAGGAGATTATATAGTAAGCTTAGTAGAACTCTGTAGGGTAAGCTAAGTAATCTACTAATAGTTTCGTACAGATCTGTATCTTCTACTGCGTATATTTTTCGTGTAAACCTTTCTTAAAGATTCTAATATTAAGGAGTTTAGCTTTTCTAAACTCTTATACGGGCGTAGTTGTAGCTAGAGACTAGCTAGAAGGTTACTAACTTTCTATACTTAGCGTGAGATTGGGAGTCTATGCGTTAGGGGTAGCTTACCCCTATACTGTACGGAGAAAAAGGGCTTTCATCTCTTAGAGTTCTTCTTATACGCCTTTAGCGTTCTTAAGTCTTATAGCTATCTAGTCTAGGTTTCGTTAGAGTAGATTATTTGTTGTATTTAGTTAGCTCCAGCTTTCTGTGAGCTCCTCGTACGTTGGAGGTCTTAGTAGGTTATTACTAGGTTCTAGGTTTGACATAGGCTTATATAGCTCTATCGTTATATCTTACTCATTTTACATTCTTAATTCTCTCTCGCTCTGTACGAGAGAAAAGAGTAAGAGAGGTTAAAGTAATCTTTTAGCTTATATTATAGGCGGAGAGGCCTAGCGAACGAGTATGCTTCTACCTATCGTATAGAAGCTAAAAGATAAGAAAAAGAGAAGATAACTAAGTACAGACTTCTCTTATACCTACTCGCTTCTGATCACGTGTCCGTACAGAAGGTATATCACGTGGTCGAAGATCACGTGATCCCTTCAGTAGAGATCACGGGCGCAGCCCTTTATAAGTACGCTACTACGTCTAGTATATTAATAAGGAACGCTTTCTACTAGCCTTTTAAGACGTATTTTTTAATATATTTACGTCTAATAACTATAAGAAGGCCTTTAAGATAGTAGAGCTAGTCTCTCTTAACGCGGAGAGAGTTATTAATCGCCTTAATATACGCTTTTATACTCTACTATAAAAACCTTAGCTAGAAACACTCTAGAAGTCTAAAATACCTAGTAATTTGTATAAATTTAGATTATAGTTAAAGCTTATAAGAGACATCTTTTTAAAATTACTAATTACTATATAAAAAGGCTTCTTAAAGGTTATTAAAGGAGCTAAGAAGATACTATATAAAAATATACTTATAAAGGCCCACATATAAGAGCTTAAAGAGTAATTAGTAGTAGTAATAAAGCGCTAGGGGCGCAAAAGGAAGTGAATTTAGATAGGTAAGATACTAGACTTTAGTATAGGAGCATTATAGATAGCTAAAAGTAGTTCTACTAGTTATATACATAATATTAAAGAAGGCGCGTAGTAAGAGTAGTTAAGAAAGGTCTTAGCTAGGTTAATAGTACTATAGAATCTATAGAAAGATAGGTTATAACTCTCGTACGTGCTGAAAGAATGTAGAAGAAGATTCTTTATTAGATATAAGTAAGTTATACGACGCATCTATAGCTAGTGTAGAGTAATTTAAGTTTTTATATATCAAGTTCAAGATACTAAGAAAAAGTATCCAGCTTAGTAGTATGTCTAGCTTAGTAGTGCTTTACGTTATATATAAAGTAATTTATACTAAAAAAAAAGTTATTTTCTTAAAAAGGCCTAAAAGCAGACTGTGAGATTAAACTTATAACTAATAAGAATAAGAGAATACTAAAAGTTCTATATAGGCTTATTTATAGTATAATAAGAGATAAACTTTTTAAATTAAGAAAGACGTTATATAAACTACTTAAGAAGAGGTTTATTTATATAAGTAACTCTTCTATAGCCCTAATTATTCTATTTATATAAAAACTTAGAGAAAGGCTATAGTTCTGTATTTATATTAAAGAAGAATAAGAATAGATAAGTATCTTCTAGATACTCTTTAAATTATATAAGTAGCTAGTAACCTCTTTTAAACTTATAAACACACTAAGTACGTTCTAAAAATATATTAACTAAATACTATAGAACTTTCTAGATAACTTTATCTCTATTTACTTAGATAATATTCTTATCTCTATAGATAGCTTATAAGAATAATACTATAAATATATATAATATATTATAAAGCTATAATGAGGCGTAACCTCGTTAGGTCCTTAAGCTCTAGAGCATAAGATAGGCTAAGGTAATAAGATTGTATTTAATAGAGAGCTAAGCTCTTAGCTACGTAGCTATCTATATATAATACTAGTTACTAGAGTAATAATTAGGCTGAGTAGGTAGAGTAGACGAGGTCGTAGACAAGTATAAGAGGCAAAGGGCGTTCAGCCTATTACAAAAGCGTCTTTAAGCTATAGAGCTATAACTAGAGCTAAAGAAGTATAAATTTAATATCTAATATATAAAATATTATAGGTTTATTCTCTTAGCTAGAGATAGCGTATCTATAGATCTAGATAAGATTAAAGTAATTTAAAAATAGAAAGTACTAGTTACTATATAAAGAGTATAAGAATTTCTAGGCTTTCCTAACTTCTATTATAAGTTTATTTCTAACTATTCTAAGCTTACTAAATTTCTTTTACGCCTAACGTAGTTTATAAGCGAATCGCTTACCTAAGCGAATCGCTCGCACTCTATTAGCGCGATAACTTCAACACTATAACGCGTTATGTCTTAATAACGCAATTATCTATTAACTTATTTTAAATCAGATCTCCAGCTTACTCTTCTTAATATCTAATCGCAACGTATTTAAAGTTAAAAACGTACTACTACTATCTATAACGTGCCTTAAAGAACTTTATTAGACTAACGCGCTAGAAAGCGCTCCTAACGCGATTACGAAGCTAACTTAAAGCGCCTAAATAAGCTAGAAGAGAAGGCTATAGTTAGACGTATTCTTAAAGAGTCTATAAGAGAATTTGCGTCTACGAAGGCTAATATTTACGTAATAGCTAATAAACTATTATATAAGCGAGAGGGTAACCCTATTAGTAAGAACTAGGTTAATAACTTTATTAAGAGAACTTCTAAGCTCTATACGCGCTAAATCTATTCTTATAATTGTTAAAATAAGAAGGGTGCTACTTATTCTATAGCTAGCTTAGAGGTAGAGTCGTCTACTTATCTAGCGATAGACATAGAGGTAGCGAATTAATAGGTTCTAGAATAAAAAGAGAGAAATAATGCTAGGGGAGAGAGATTAAAGAATTGTATTAATCCGATCTTATCTTATTATCTACACTAGTAGTCTACTTTGTGCTTATAATCTACTCTGGTTTCTATCTACTAACTATTCTACTACTATATATATTAGCTATACTAGATTCTAAAAGAATTTATCTAGTAGTAGATTACGTAGCTATAGACGTAATAGATAGATGAATTATATAGGGATTAGTTAACTAAAGAATCTAAGTATAGTGCTAATCACCCGGATTATATTAGAGATTAGCTGATTAGCTTATATCTCTAATAATAATTACTAGTAAGCTATCTGCGAAGACCTAGTAGCTATCTAGCGCTAGTTTAATCTAGTTAAGATAACGAAGTAGAAGTAGAGTATTATAGACAACAATATCTATAACTTTAATAAAACTAGCTTTATAATAGGTAAGATTTTAGTATAGTTAGTTATTATAGAGTCTAAAGAATATAGTAAAAAGAAGCGAATATAGCTAAGTAACCGTAAGTAGGTTACTATAATCTAAGGCGTGGGTGCGTTAGATCGCTAGCTACTACCCTTCGTTATCTTTGCGAGTAATGTACTTATTAACGTTAAGTTTAAAAATCTACCTACTAACTAAGTGCTTAAAGTTAGTTCTAATAGCTAGATAAATAATTAGCTTACTCTTACTTAGTTAGAGCACTTTAATATCTATATAAAGAGCTGCACTATAGATAAATATTAACTACTTATTATTAATAGCTATAAGAGCTACTACTTAGTTAAATTTTAAGATCTTTATAAGAAGAAGAATATTATTCTTTTCTATATACTTATACACTCGTTTTACCTATTATAGCCTCTTAATATCGCTTACTTTAGGCTATTAAAGCGTAAGTATAGTAATATAGTTTTAGCCTTAGTACGTAACTGCACTAACTATATTAGTAAGAAGATCTTTCTACTAGCCTTTAGAGCTACTCTTAAGCGGTCTATTATAAAGGAGAATATCTAAGCTAGTTTTAGAGCTACATATTTAGTTCTATATAATCTATAGGCTATACTATTAAAGCTTAATATAGTATTATAGATACAAAAATAATTACTATAATAGATAGATACTTAGAAGGCGTAGACGCTATATAACGCCCGCGAAGTTAAGGCTTAAAGTACTCTTATTTAATAGAGAGTAAGAAACTACCTTAGATTTTCTATAAGTTCTCTTAATAAGAAAGTTGCGTAGTTAAGTAAAGAGGCTTAGTAAATAGTATATAAGATAATACTTATAAAGGAGAAAGTAGCTACTCTTTAAAAGGCTTTAGATATAATAAATAAGCGTAAGAGCTATAAGCAGTAATATATATAGATAGAAGAGACTCTTAATATAGGTAAGGTATAAAAAGTATTAGCTAAATAGGCAGGTAGTAGTTATAGTAATAAGGAGAGTACGTGAAAGAGAGTGTAAGAAGAGAGGTAGTGCGGGCGTTATAAGCAGACTAGATATAACGCCTATACTTACGCAGTTAAAATAGATAGTATACGTAATAGTAGCGACTCTAATAATTAATTTAGTATATTATAATAGTTTATTAACTATAATAAAAGTTTTAGATAATATATTAAAGTTATCGCGCTAGTAGAGCGCGAGTTATTCGCTTAGGTAAGTAATTCGCTTATAAACCACGTTAACTAAGAAAGATAAGAAGTTTAAATAGAGACCTAAGTAAGAATTAAGCTTTACTACTCTAAAGAAAGTATTTCTCTTAGAAGAAGTTCTAGTTATATTTAACTCTAACTATTATATAATTATTAAATATAACGTGCCCCACCAGTAAGCTGGCCACACTAGTAAGCTAGCCACCCCACCAGACTTAACGCAACGTTCTGCGCAATTAAGCCACAACAACAAGAGATAATACAGTTATATTCTACTATAAGGTAGATTATTACTATCTACATTGAGTCCGTGTATGGCCTTAAGTATGGCACTTCGTACACGTTGGCGGCGCGCGCTAACGTCGCTCACCAGCCTGGCTCTGGCTGGCCTCTATGACCATCCTTTCTGCCTCTGCAGTAAGCTACTAAGCCTGCTGCACCTAGAGCACTCCACTAGAAGCAATATATTAACGTCGTCGATACTACTTTTATTATTAACGCTAATTTTCTATACGTAGCTTCTTATTCTCTTCTATAAGTATTGTTACTAATTGCATTATAAGTTGAGCGCTTTTCGCAAGCTGGCGTATCGTAATACTTGTTAGGCTCTCTGGCTGCCGGCCTAGTCGCTCTTAGAGATAGCGTACTTGCTGCTGAAGCTGCTCTACTATACGTGGTGTTTCTATCTACGCTACTGCCTGCGTCTACGCTGCTATCTATGGTGGAGACGGTGTTCTGGCTACTATAAGCGACGATAGGACACGCTCTAGATAGAGAGGGATAAGGCCTATCACCTGAAAGCCTACCTGGATATTCTGCTGCGTAAAAACTGTTAGCCGGATCTGTATATAAGCTATAAGGAAGTCTATCTTATTAACGTAGTGGAGGCCTTAGCAGGTAAGCTTCTCTACCTCACGCCCGTACGCTCGCTTAAGTAAGAAGAAGTAGCTTATATTAAGTGGCTGTAGGAGGTGCGACGTATAAGGCGGTATATAGAGAGTAATAATCTTATTCTCTATATAGAACTAGTTAAACTCTAGCGTGGCGTGGCTACTATGGCCGTCTAGAATAAGTAGCTGATAGACTCTAGCTGTATAAGCAGCTGTATACTAGTTAAAGTGCTTTACTCACTCTACGCTAAGCTAATTAGTTGTCTATCCGTTATCTAATACTGCGATAGTCTAGTTTAATAGGAGGCCTTAATACCAGCTACTCTAGTGGGCCTTACTAGATAGAATCACGAATAGTGGGAGAGACCAGCTAGACGCGTTAACGCACTCAATTACTGTTACCCACTCGCGATTACCTAGCTGTATAATAACTACTTAACTAATTCTATTAGCGCTAGTTACGACTTTTGACGTTATAGCGACACCTATCGCGAACTTAGTTTTATTAAAGTTATAGATATTCTAGTCTAAGACGCTATACGACTAGCGCGTCTTCTCTACTAGTTTAAACCACGCTGTAATTGCAATTAGATTCTCGTAGGAGGCGCGCTAACTATTAAGACTTCTACTCTACTTTATCTGAAGCTCTAGCTGGTTCTGTATAAAGCGCGACACCTAGTTCTTACTAATAGGTGCTAGAGGTAGATCTTGGCCGCGCGCAGCGAGTAGAGCGTCTACTATTCGTCGTACGTTAATAATATAAGGCGGAAAACCGCGTTAGTTAAGGTTTAGAATCTACTGTACGAGAGACTACTCTTTAATAGGTAGTAGCTTACGCCTAGTAGATGGAATCTCTAATTATGGCTAAACACCCTAGAGACGTGTCTAAAGAGTTAATTTTAGCACGTTATATGCTGCTGCAAGTGCGCGTACTAATTATTTTAGATTATTACAATAGAAGGCTATAGTAAGACTTAATCTACCTTTATAAGAAGTCTATATAGAACGTTGTTATTACGGCATAGTAGTGGTTATATAGAGTGTCGCGTTAAGTCTGGTGGGGTAGCTAGCTTACTAGTGTGGCCAGCTTACTAGTGGGACACGTTAACATGTTCTATTAGTAAGCGGCTTACCTTAGTAAGTAGCCTACCCTACTAAACTTAACCTAACGTTCTGCGCAATTAAGCTACAGTTACCTAATAAAATAAGATAACACTTAAAAAATTTAATTTATAATATAACTCTATACTAAGTTCTTATATAACCTTGAACGTAGCACTTTGTGTATATTAGTAGCGCGCGCTAACGTCGCTAACTACTCTCACTCTATTTAGCCTCTATAACTACTCTTTCTGCCTCTATAGTAAGCTACTAAGCCTATCGCACCTAGAGTACTCTACTAGAAGTTATATATCAACGCTGCTAACTCTACTTCTATTACTAACGCTAATTTTCTTTACGTAGCTTCTTATTCTTCTTTATAAGTATTATTGCTGATTACATTATAAGCTAAGCGCTTTTAGTAAGCTAGCGTATTGCAATGCTAGTTAGACTCTCTAGCTACTAGCGTAGTTAATCTTAGAGATAGCGCACCTACTGCTTAAGCTATACTACTATATATAGTGTCTCTATCTACTCTACTACCTACGCTATAGCGTTATTATCTATAGTAGTTTATAGTGAAGATAGCGTTTAGACGACTGTTAGCGACGATAGAACGCGATCTAGATAAGAAGAGATAAGGCCTGTCGCCTAAAAGTATACCTAGATATTCTACTAAGTAAAAACTATTAGCTAGATCCGTATATAGGCTATAAGAAAGGCTATCTTATTAATATAGTAGAGGCCTTAGTAGGTAAGCTTCTCTACCTCACGTCCGTACGCGCGCTTAAGTAGGGAGAAGTAGCTTATATTAAGCGGCTAGAGAAGATATAATATATAAGGCGGTATATAGAGAGTAATAATTGTAAAGGGCTGCGCCCATGATCTCTACCGAAGGGATCACGTAGTCGATGACCACGTGATATGCCTTCCGTACAGACACGTGATTAGAAGCGAGCAAGTATAAGAGAAGCCTGTACTTAGTTATCCTCTCTTTTTCTCATCTTTTAGCTTCTGTACGATAGGTAGAAGCATACTCGTTCGCTAGGCCTCTCCGCCCATAACAATAATCTTATTATTAATATAGTACTAATTAAACTCTAGCGTAGCGTAGCTACTATATCTGTCTAGAATAAAAAGATAATAGACTCTAGCTATACGAGCAGCTATATGCTAGTTAAAATGCTTTACTTACTCTACGCTAAGCTAATTAGTTATCTAGCTATTATCTAATACTACGATAGTCTAGTTTAGTAGAAGGCCTTAGTACTAGCTACTCTAGTAGGTCTTACTAGATAGAATTATAAAGGGTGGTAGAGACTAGCTAGACGCGCTAATATACTTAATTACTATTACCTACTCGCGATTATCTAGCTAGATAACGACTGCTTAACTAACTCTATTAGAGCTCGTAACTATCTTTAACGTTATAGTAATACCTATTATAAATTTAGTCTTATTAAAGTTATAGATATTCTAGTTAAGAACGCTATACGTCTAATGCGTCTTTTCTATAAGCTTAAACTACGCTATAATTATAGTAGGGTTCTTGTATAAGGCGCGCTAACTATATAATTATTTAGTCTACTTTATCTAAAGCTCTAGCTAGCCTTAAATAAAGCGCGATATCTAGTTCTTACTAATAGGTAGTAGAGGTAGATCTTAGCTACGCGCGGTAAATAAAGCGTCTACTATTCGTTATACGTTAATAATATAGAGTAGAAAGCCTTGTTGATCTAGCTCTAGAATCTATTAAATAAAAGACTACTCTTTAATAGCTAATAGCTTATAATTAACAGAGGCTGTCTCTAATCGCGGCTAGATACTATGGAGACGTCGTTAGAGCGTTGTTCGTGGAGCGTTGTATAGTATAGTAGCCTAACGCTAGCTTATTATACGTTTCTCTTAAAGCGCATGAGATGCTAGAAGTACTCTAGCTTTATAAGAGGTCTGTATAGAGCGTTATTATCGCGGCATTATAGTAATTGTGTAGAGAGTTATGTTAGATTTAGTAGAGTGGGCTACTTACTAGAGTGGGCCGCTTACTAGTAGAATACGTTAACTCTTTTAAATAAGCTTTTAGAGTAGTACTACTTTAGAAAGATAAGAATAAAGCTTTATATATAGTTACTTATTTATTATAAAAACTACTAGTATATAAAGTAAACTATCTAATATATAATAAGAAACTTCTAGTAGTTATTACTTACTTAAGAAAATAAAATATAGAACTCTATAGTATATATAAGTTTAAAGTTATAGCTAACTATAAGAACTTAGAATTTTACATAAAAACGTAGAAACTCTTAAAATATTATATATAATAGTCTCTTAAACTAGTATACTTTCTAAATATAAGACTTAAATA